AATGAATCGACTTTTCAAGGTAGTAAACAAATCAATTAAAATATCAACCCAACAATCATTTGAGTATCTGGGATTTCCCAAACCATTCCTACTTACTGGGTCATTGACTTTGATGGACAAAAAACAATGAAGAAAAGAAAGCATATATATAAAACTTTAAAGCATTAAACACCCGCCTCCAAACATATCTCCCCTTTATTCTCATGGCATTGTATGCCAATGTTTTCTTTTCTTCATTGTTTTTTGTCCATCAAAGTCAATGACCCAGTAAGTAGGAATGGTTTGGGAAATCCCAGATACACACACACACACACATATGTGTGTGTGTGTGTGTACACTTAGTACCCCATAATGACAAAGTGAAAACAGAATTTTAGAAATGTCTGTAAATTTATTAAAAAGGAAAAACTGAAATATCACATTGGCACACTTAGTACCCCATAATTACTAAGTGAAAACAGAATTTTAGAAATGTCTGTAAATTTATTAAAAAGGAAAAACTGAAATATCACATTGGCATAAGTATTCAGACCCTTTACTCAGTACTTTGTTGAAGCACCTTTGGCAGCAATTACAGCCTTGAGTCTTTTTCAGTGTGATGCAACAAACTTTGCATACCTGGATTGGGGGATTTTCTGCCATTCTCTCAAGCTCAATCAGGTTGGAGGGGGACCGTCAGTGGACAGCCATTTTCAGATCTCTCCAGAGATGTTCAATAGGGTTCTAGTCAGGGCTCTGGCTGGGCATTCACACAGCTGTCTCTAAGCTATTCCTGTGTTGTCTTGGCTGTGTGCTTAGGATCATTGTCATGTTGGAAGGTGAACCTTCAGCTCAGTCTGAGGTCCTAAGCGCTGTGGAACAGGATTTCATTGAGGATATCTCTGCTCCATTCAGCTTTCCCTCAACCCTGACCAGTCTTCCAGTCTCTGTTGCTGAAAAACACCCCCACAGCATGATGCTGCCACCACAATGCTTCCCTGTTGGGATGGTATTGGGCAGGTGATGAGTGGTGCATGGTTTCCTCCAGACATAACATTTAGAATTGAGGCTGAATAGTTCAATCTTGGTTCCATCAGACCAGAGAATCTTGTTCCTCACAGTCTGAGAGTTCTTCAGGTGCTTTTTTGCAAACTCCAAGCAGGCTGTAATGTGTTTTGCACTGAGGAGAGGCTTCCGTCTAGCCACTTTGCCATAAAGCCCAGACTGGTGGAGGGCTGCAGTGATGATTGTCCTTCTGGAACTTTGTCCCATCTCCACACAAGATCTCTGGAGCTCAGTCATTGGGTTCTTGGTCACCTCTCTTACTATGGCTCTTCTCCCCCAATTGCTCAGTTTGGCCAGGTGACCAGCTCTTGGAAAAGTCCTAGTTGTGCCAAACTTCTTCCATTTGAGAATTATGGAGGCAACTGTGCTCTTGGGAACCTTTAGTGCAGCAGACATTTTTTTGTAGCCTTCCCCAGATCTGTGCCTTGCAATACTCCTTTGACCTCATGGCTTTTGCTCTGGTACAGTATGCATTGTCAGCTGTGAGGCCTTCTATAGAGAGGTGTCTGCCTTTTGAAATCATGTCCAATCAATTTAATTCATTTGAGAATTATGGAGGCAACTGTGCTCTTGGGAACCTTTAGTGCAGCAGACATTTTTTTGTAGCCTTCCCCAGATCTGTGCCTTGCAATACTCCTTTGACCTCATGGCTTTTGCTCTGGTACAGTATGCATTGTCAGCTGTGAGGCCTTCTATAGAGAGGTGTCTGCCTTTTGAAATCATGTCCAGAGTCAGCCAGGAAGCTTCCACAACTGAAGGTGGACTCCAACATAGGTCTCCCCAGTGTTAGTTTAAT